CTGTGATAAATGCATATATATATATAGCATAGATATATATATATATATATGCATGCAGTACGAAGTGTGATTTCTGCTCTCTGTTTGCCATACCGTGGCGGACGTAGGAAACGCAAATGCTATTTTACAGTGTCAGTAAAGGGTAAGATAAAATCGTGCCACAGAGAGATTAAGAGAGAGTGAGAGGGAGATTAATAGAGAGAGAGAGAGCGCGCGCGAGAGAGAGAAGGAGAGAGAGAAAGTGAGAAATCGAGAGAAAGAAAGCTAGATAGAGAGAGGGGAGAGAGAGAGCGAGATAGAGAGAGGGAGCGAGAGAGCGAGAGAGAGATTAAGAGAGAGCGAGAGGTAGAGAAAGTGAGAGAGAACAAGAGCTAGAGACAGAGAGGGAGGGAGAGAGAGAGAGACAGATAGAGAGAGAGAGAGAGAGAGAGAGAGAGAGAGAGTAGAGAGAAGACGAGAGAGAGAGAGATAGNACACATGCAGAGAGAGAGAGAGAAGCTGAGAAAGCACGCACGCACCGTCATTAAGCACGCACGCACAGTTATTAAGCACGCACGCACAGTCATTAAGCACGCACGCACAGTCATTAAGCACGCACGCCCAGTCATTAAGCACGCACGCACAGTCATTAAGCACGCACGCACAGTCATTAAGCACGCACGCACAGTCATTAAGCACGCACGCACAGTCATTAAGCACGCACGCACGCACAGTCATTAAGCACGCACGCACAGTCATTAAGCACGCACGCGCAGTCATTAAGCGAGCAGACTATACTCACCTGCCTGGTCACTCCGGAATATCTGCACGATGTTGCCTAGCAACCATCCGTACAGGGCGGGACGGCGTGGTCCCGGCACTCTCTCCAGCAGCATCCGCGCGCGCGCAGGCACGTGTAGTGTGGCTGCAGCATACACGACCAAGCAGGCGGCCAGTATGAGCAGTAGCGCGCAGGAGGGAAGGAGAGAGGAAGCGGAGGGGAGCGCCCACGCGAACACACCGCTTAGCATGATGCTAGCGGAGCAGTGTAGCACCAGTACGCGCTGGGAGAGATGTGTGTGTGTGTGTAAGAGAGTGTGTGTGTCATGTACCGCAACCCCAAACGTAGCCCCGCCCCCAGGTACCACGTGCACGCCTCTCGGCCAATCACTGCCGACGTATCCCCGACTATGATGACTACGTTACAGATATTTCTTATCGTGAATGGAACCGGTTTGATTTGAATAAATTGCATATATATATACGTATTTATAGTATAATATTATATATTGTATATATATATATATGCATGCAGTACAGCAAGAGTGATTTCTATGTTCAGTTTTTCAGCTCTCTGTGCATAAATGTCATAATATATATATATATTATATATATATATATGCATGCAGTACCAAGGTTGTGCATTTCTGCTCTATGTTTGCCTACGTGCGGAACTAGAAACCAAATCGCTATTTACCAGGTCAGTAAAGGATAACATGAATCGTCCCCACACAGAGATTAAAGAGAGAAGGGGAGGAGATAATCATAGAGAGAGAGAGAGAGAGAGAGAAATACAAAAAGCGCAGCGCGCGGAGAGAGGGGAAGCAGAGAGAGTGAGAAATCGAGAAAAAAGCTAATTGAGAGAGCGGAGAATAGAGCGCGAGAGAGAGAAGCGGAGAGACGAGAGATGAAGATGGATTACCAGAGATCGGAGAGAGAGTAGAAAGTAAGAGAGAACGAACTAGAGGCAGAGAGGAGGAGAGAGGAGAGAATCCGAAGAAATAAGCTACAGACTCAGAGAGGAGGAAGAGGAGAGAGAGAGAGAGAGAGAGAGAGAGAGAGAGAGAGAACGAGAGAGAGAAAAAAAAGAGAGAGAGAGAGAGAGAGAGAGAGAGATACAGCAGATACAAAATACGAACATTTATAATGTGGTAATAGTCAACTGCATACTTTATACGGAAAAAGAAATCAAACGAACAGAATAATAATAACGAGAGTGTGTGTGGCGGCAGCCGCTGTAGTAGCGGAGAGCACGCGCCTGGGGCTACGGCTGCGCCCCCTGTAACCAACGCGTCAACTACATGCAGTGTCTACTCTCACTGAAAGCAATAGAACATCGATTCATCTCCCAATCACTGCTTCCATCTAGCTTCTTTTCCCGTATCCTCGTTCCGCCGCTACCGACATAAACGCGCTAACCGTGTCCAATGGATGCGCGGTGACTGGGAACGAAGACGTTTAGTTGGAGACAAGACGTTTAGTGGAAGGGCTGAGACAATCCGAAACGAAAGCGAAAGCGAAAGTACTTCGTCTACGGGCCATTAATGAGCCGTATGTTATCATGTTATCATTAGGCCATCATGTTATCTATACATCGAGAAAGAAAACTCACACACGCGCACACACTACAATCGGAAACGGGAGATTCCTATAGATAATAGCGGGGTGACCATTAAAATAACTAATAAATACTGAATCAAATCTTTAATTTCATAAATACAAATAAAGCAAACGCGCACGAACGGCGAAAAAAAAACTGGGTAATCGAATAACCGTAAAAACAAAATTTACAAACAGAACAACTTTAGCCACTGCAAAAACGCCTAGAATTCGTCACGCTATGTGAATAGTCTATTAGCTCACGTTAATCATGTGTCCAACTGCGGACTGTGGGTTATTGCAACGTAGTCCCCTGACAAAGATAAGAATATTCCTCATTTGACTAGAATAACGTAATACTTTAAATATATATATATATAATTATATCGTAATAATAATAATCATCAAGAAATGTCGAACTAGATGCGTCACACATCGATCGGGGAAGCTATGACGTCAAAAGAGCCACGACCGTCGCGCCACCTAGGTGCCGGCATCCGAAACTCCTTACGGTCCTCGATTCGACTTCCCGCCACAACGAGCGAGCGGTCGCTGTTCGTGTGTTTGTCTCCACGCAAGGCAAACACCAGAACATGCCTCTCAACGTCGCCAGGCTATCGGTTGCTCGGCCGCCAGGGGTCGCGCGAAGCGCGGCAGCATGCGATTCGTGAGGAAATTTGCAAGTTTGCGGCAGATTCCAGAATTCCTCGGAAAGTAAATTTTTTTTCTCTTTAAAAGATTCCGTCGCCAGATGTCGCCTCCAGTCCCATCGTATTCTTGTCGTCGTCGGGGTCGTCGGCAGGCGTGCGCATGCGCAGCTTACGAGTACATGCTCTGCAGCTGCTTGACGGACTTCGACTGGTATGGTTCGGCTTCCTGCACCTGGAGGGCGCCACCGGTGGTGTAAGCCTCGTCTTCGTACACTGCTCGCATGGTGGCGCTTGGAACGAATGCTCCGCTGTGGTGAGCAGAAACGAGTGATGTAGAGAAAGACACAATAAGTAGATAGGAAGAGAGCTAGGGGAGGAGAGCGAGGCAGAAGAGAGGGGGAGAGCAGAAAAGGATGATATATAGAGAGAGAAGCATAGAGAGTATGCGAAAGCGAGAAAGCGAGATAGAGAGACAGAAAAAGGGGGAGAGAGAGAGAAAGAGAAAGAGAAAGAAAAGAAAAAGTAGAAAAAAAGGAATTAGACCAGGAAACAAAAGTGGGTGAGAGGGCAGGATAGGAGAGAGAATTTAACTCACTACCTCGCTCGTGAGTAATTATAAATACGTATTCTTGTATGAAAGCGATTAGATTTTGAGCTTTCTTTGATCAGTTAGATGCATAATACGCTACCGTGGCGCTATCTATATGTGTGAAATCGAAGCTAACAGAGGAGCAACGATTCGAATTTTCGTGAACAAACTCATTGAATGTCAAATTAATTCATCATTAATAAATAATTACATAATTAACAAATTAATTTATTAGACTACGTCAGACGACAAGTCGGTTGAGATTCTAGTGAATTATAGTGAATATGTTCTGCAATGCTAGTTTCTCTAGCGAACGACAGACACTGCAAGCTAGACAAGACAAGTATCACATCTGCAACAGGTTGTCCTAAGATACACATATATCGATACACATGCAGTACGACCCACAAAACACGTCAAATACAACGTAACTGTTTTATCGTCTGATTTGCCTAATGTTCCTGGGTCGGTGACAGATTTGCCAATTGTAATGCGGTTAGTTTCAGGGTATGCACCGTGAAAACTAGAACGCTGCATGAAAATCTAAAAGCTAGCAAAAGCTAACTCTGCAAAACTAGCGCCATGTTTATGACGTAGGTGACCTTGAACTTTAACTCAAAACACGTTTCGCTGACCCGTACCGCATATCTATTGATTTATACACGAATTAGGCGAGCCACATTTCTTAAACAAAAGAGCAAAACTCTTCAGTAACGAGAGTCATTTGAAATAGCATCCCTGCTATCTAAAATGACTCTTATTCGAAGCCGACAGTGCCTCCATCTTCCGGCAGGTGCGGGTATAAATGCCGGTCGCTGTCAAGAAAACGCATTAGACACAAGATGGCGGCGGCGGCGGCGGCCGGGCCACACGGGAACATAGCAGGGTGCAACCATGGCAACGGACGCTGCATGCATCTGTGAAACGCAGTGGCTACGCGTCCGGTCATCCATTACAAAGCTCAGTACATTTTTTTGGATAAAATACCTAAAAGTAAGTAATATTATGGTAAAAACTTATTGGTTTTTTAATGAAAAAATATATAGTTGGGTTCACATAAGAAATATATGATCGGATGCGTAGCATGAGAGCTGGGCGTCCGGTAACATGACGCGTAGCCACGACCTCTGTGAAACAACACAACATGGCGGATGGGTACCGACGATACCAGCATGCATGCGGGTTTTCAGAACCAGCTGGACATTCTGGGCAAGGATTCACCCAACCTATATTTGTTTATGCTTTCGTTTTTCCCGCGCATTTTTTGAACAGGGCGTCTGCGTATCATGACATCCGCGAGGGAAATAATTAGGGTAACTAATTGGCTTTATTCTTAGAGCTTATCTCACGAGTTCCGTGTTGAGTTATGGACATGGTTTTGTGGACTTATAAATCACGTACTTGCTTCCGGGTCTTGTACGTTATTAACTGTAGCTGATGTCGATTAGTGACACCATAACACGCATTACTGTGCCATGGAACAGTGAATGATAGCACAGCTAAGATTTTACTGCGCCGTAGAACAGTAAATAACAGCACAGCTAAGATTTTACTGCACCATGGAACAGTGAATTACAGCATCCAGCAACAAGAATTGATAGCTAAGATTTTATGGCACCAAGGAACAAAAATTGACAACACCAAGAAACAACAAATGGCAGCACCAAAGAACGAATATTGACAACACAACGGAACAATGATTCGCATTGTATGGCAGCGTTATGTGACAATGAATGAACGTACTAATGACCACTGAATGACAGTACTAATGAACAATGAATTACAGTACTAATGAACAATGAATAACAGTACTAATAAACAATGAATGACATAACAAAGGACGAAATTATTCACAGCACAAAGGAACAAGTAATTACAGAACGATGAACAACGTCTGAACGTACCATGGAACAACAATTGACATCACCAAGGAACAATGGATGAGAGAAACAAGGAACAAACGTTAGCCATACAGAGGAACAATGATTCACTGCACCAAGGAACAACGATGAACAACCAAGGAACAACGATGCAGTGACGTGTGCCAAAGCAAACCTCGGCGAGTGCCGACGCGCGCGCCCCCTGCAATCACCTGCTGGCCTGTGGCGATTCTGTAGCCGTTAACCTGTGTAACAGAAAAAAAACGGCGGGACAGATTTGAATCTTTCGTTCGTATTGGGCCGTAGATAGTGACGTCATCAGCAGCGGTTAATTTACGATTTACTGTACTAGTAAGCGGAACGACGCTTGGCGTGACGTCATCGAATAAAAATTAACGCCATTGTGCTTATTGCAAGTAATGTCAAGTAAAGTTCTTTGCAAGTCATTGTCATCCTACAACAAATCTGTGCAATTCCACTGTATATATTGTACATTCTCGTAATGCGTGCGCGCAAACTGCGGTGTGTGTGGGGGGAGGGGGAGACCATAGTTTCCTGCTGACGTGTTTAATATATGCTCCCTATGGGGGGGGGCTAAATGCCATGGGGGGCTCAATGCTATAGAGGGCTGTATGCTTTGGAGGGCTGGATGCTTTGGAGGGCGGAATGCCACTGTAAGCTACTGCACACCAGAATGTCCGCGAGCTTGGATTAGGAATAATCCATAATTGGCAATCGCGCTTCGATTAGGGATAATTCCTAATGCACGGCAGGGTTGCTACTGTCATGGCGGACTACGGTCGCAAACGTAAGAAAAAAGCAGTCTTGTAATAATGTTTCTCAGGAGCTGGTAAGCGCTTTAGATAAACGCAAATGTAGAAAGAAGCCAAAGACAAGTTTTATCGAATTCAAACGTGATCCCATCACTGGACTACGAATTTACCACACGCCATATCGCCCCCAGCTGATCAAGCACCGCTTCGACTTCGGCTGACATGTCTGTTTTTTTATTTTCTTACGTTTGAGACCGTCGTCCACCATAACCGCAGCAACCCGGCCTTCCATTTGGAATTATCCCTAATCGAAGCGCGATTGTCAATTATGGATTATCCCTAATTCAAGCTGAAAGACATGTTGTGCACACACGCGACGATGTCACATCTAGACACGAAGACTAGGAATCGTGATATATTACCCGCTACCGGCGTCCATCTCTCTGGGAACGAATAAAATAATTCAGAGTAAAAAAAACACATAATAAATAACAGTTAAATAAATAATATAATAAATATTATAATATATAAGAAATTCGGTTAGCTCGGTAATTATTAATGTTGTTTTCTACTTGCAGTGATGGTATGCACTGCGGCTGAAGGGGTCGTTGTCGTATCAGGTACTGCATATATCTACCAGAGGTACATATATGTATACTCAAAGTGTACCAGAAGTGTACCCTAACATAATACTAAACAACCTAAAACTACCTCGGGTACATATATGTAGTACCTGATAGGACAACGACCCTTCGTGCTGCACTGCGGGAGCACATCGTTCGCATAACCACAAGAATTACTACCCGGAATTAAGTTGCAATAACAGATAGTCTGAATCAGTATAATACTGATAACCTATATACAGATTATTCTGGGCTGCTATAAACTTCCTTACCCGCTTCCCCCGCTAGATACGCCAACGAAGCTATAATTATATGCATAGTGGGTCAGCTCGTCACGGGAGGTAAAGACGTCACGCTACATCGTGCGTCACGGCGGTACTAGGCAACGGTGTCGTTGCGCCATCTATCGGCGTATAATGTAATCTACTCACGGCCTGTAGCCGGTCTGTCCCTGTATTGTGTCGACGACGTTCTCGGTGGAGTAGATGTTCAGAGGCGAGTTGAACTGCGCATGTACGATCTGCTTGTTCTTATCGTCCGTCTGTAGGACGAATGGCTTGCCAGTCGACGGGAGCTGAAATTGAAATTGAAATTGAAATTTATTGAATTGAAATTTATTGTTCAAAAACCTTCCAACAACAAATTACAAGCACCAAGATTTTATACGAAGAGCACAACAACAGACATCTGAATACAAAAAAGACAGAAATACAACAAGATACCTAGAAGATAAAAAATACATATTATGTACGGTTGTGTGAAAGTAGATTAGATTACAAAGGAAAATGACTTACATATTTTTGGAAATATGAAGTAAACATTTGCACAGTTTAATACCCGCATGCTGGTAAGCGCATGCGCGTGCAGGCAGCAGTAGTGCTGGCAGGAGGGTAGGCTGAGTGGAGGAGGACCTGCAATAGCAGCGCTCTGAGGCCAAAACACGCGGCATCGGGAAGACATTGAAGCCTTACACAATTCATGCTCTTCCGCTCTCGCTCTCTCTCTCTCGCTTGCTCTCTCTCTCTCTCTCTCTCTCTCTTTTTCTCTCTCTTTTTCCTTCTCCCTCTCTCTCTCTTTCTCTCTTTATTGTTTTCTTGCTCATTCTCGTGCTCCCTTTCTCGCACGCACACACTCTCTCTATCCCTCCACCCTCTTCCTCTCGCTATCCCTCCCTCCTCCTCTCTCCTCTCTCTGTCTTTCCCTCCCTCCTCTCTCCTCTCTCTATCCTTTCTCCTCTCCCCTCTCCTCTATCCCTCCTCCTTCCCCTCTCCTCTATGTACGCTGTTAGAAGTAGCAGGTAGCTATTCCCCTCTTCATCTCGCTATCTCTCCCTCCCTCCTCTCTCCTTTCTCTATCTCTCCCTTCCCTCTCTCTATCTCTTCTTCCCTCCTCTCTCCTCCCTCCCTCCTCCTCCTCCCTCTCCTCCCTCCCTCCTCCTCCTCCCTCTCCTCCATGTATCCCTCCCTCCCTACTCTCTTCTCTCGCTATCCCTCCCTCCCTCCTCTCTCCTTTCTCTATCTCTCCCTTCCTCCTCTCTCCTCTCTCTATCTCTCCCTTCCTCCTCTCTCCTTCTCTCTATCTCTCCCTCCCCCTCTCCTGCCTCCCTCTTCTGTTTCCTCCCTCTCCTCTCTGTACGCTGTAAAAAGCAGCAGGTAGCTATTCCCCTCTTCATCTCGCTATCCCTTCCTCCCTCCTCTTTCCTCTCTCTATCTCTTCCTCCCTCCTCTCCCCTCTCCTCTCTCCCTCCTCCTCCCCCTCTCCTATATGTACGTTGTAAAAAGTAACACTATATATTTATCAAGCCTCTCAGCTCATGAAACTCGCGAACAGATGGAAACTGCGTTCAAGAATCAGTTTCAAGTTACTCCCCGTTTTCAAGGCGGTCGCCGTGGTAACAGTCACCACGCGCGCGTGTGACGGCAGACGCGTGGCTAGGGGCGGGACGCTAAACTTTGAATCAAGCATTATTTATTTTTTATTTTTTTCATTCGATTAAATTTTTTCTTAATTAGTCCAGTTTTAATGATATTAGATTATGTTTTTAGATGATTGCATTATCGTTCATAAAATACATTATGTTTTGCTCTTGGTCTGGTTTACCCCAACAGTAACGCTCGCTCATGCGTCTATTTTACATAATCACGAGAAAAATAAATAAATAAATAAATAAATGTACGATTAAGTTGATCGGCGGATACGACGCGTGACGTCACTACCGGTGCACACATCTGCGCGTCCGGTGTGAGTGATTTGCGTGCGTGTCACGTGTTGCGGTGACGTCACGCGGGCAGGCGCGCGGTCTATTAGTGAACAGCACGAGAGTGGCATCTCGATGTCTCCATTAGCTGTAATTAACACTGCACACTAATTGGCTATAATTAATACTAATGAGTCAATGAAGCAACACAGCTTGTGAGCGCGCGCGCGCGCGTGTGTGTGTATGTGTGTGTGTGCGTGCGTGTGTGTGTGTGTGTGTGTG